AAAATTGTTAAAACAGTGATACAGGCTTATAAATACGAATACTAGTAAATTCAGCGTCAAGTAACATTTACAGTCATTTTCCAGAGTTTTTTGCTTTGCGAATCCTTTCTTTCAAGTTCTTTTCTGTATAAGTTGGAGTTTATTAACCTTTCTCTTTCTAATTGTTTTTCACTGGTCCTGCTCCTTTAAAAATTGGACTATTTCCCACATTAATTGTTTCACTTTTTGCTGCAACTTCTCTAGATATTCAAAGTCAGTCGATATATTCTTCGTAATGAGCTCATTTCGGTTCTCACTTCTCCGAAAGGGAAACTAAGTCATTAACCAGATGTTTCAAGTTTTTATTTTTCTGCTGTATCTGTACGGAATCTGCCTGGTGTTGATGGCAACGATGAAAGTTCAGACTGGGGTCGAAGAAAAAAGGAAATTAACATACAGCATCAGGTTTGATCGTTTTTAAACTTCTTCGTTCTATACACTGAAGATTCCAATTAAATGTTTCATAATAGTAGTATTCTGGATAATTCCAGTAAAATCCATTTAAAATATAGCTCAAATTCTGCAGGGATCGTAAATAAAGAACACTCATACCTTGTTTTTATTGTTTTTCAGACTATTACTGCCCCACAGTGGCACAGTGGTATGTCTGCGGACTTGTACTGCTGGAGACTAGGTTTCGATACCCGTGGTGGGCAAAGCACAGATAGCCCTTTGTGTAACTGTATGCTTAATAACAAACAACAACATATTGTTGCTACAATCAAACACGACTCAGTCTGATATTTTGAACACTGTTTCTTATCTCAGAATGTAAATCAGGCAGTTAAAAGAGGGGGGGGATTTTGTCTCTTTTATAATTATTTTGTTGTTGTTTTTCGAAGTTATTCCAGTTGGGAGCTAAATTTTACCACACCTGTTTTCGTAGCTAGTCCTCAGTCAGTTGAGAGTTATATTTTACCACACTTGTTTTCTGTAGCTGGTCCTCAGTCAGTTGGGAGCTTTTTTTTAACCACACTTGTTTTCCATAGCTAGTCCTCAGTCAGTTGAGAGTTATATTTTACCACACTTGTTTTCTGTAGCTAGTCCTCAGTCAGTTGAGAGCTATATTTTACCACACTTGTTTTCTGTAGCTAGTCCTCAGTCAGTTGGAAGCTTTTTTTTA